ATGAGACCCGTCGTAGACGATTGTCAAATGTGAACAAAGCCCTTACAATGCACAGCGTTAGAGGAGTTTACAGGTGTTCACAAAGGGTTTAGCAGTGATCGATGGGAACCAGCAATATGCTGTCACCATGGTAAACTGCGCCTTATTTTGAATTACAGAGTGTCCTTTCAACTAGATGAGGGAATATCTGATCCACTTCTGAGATTTTCGACAAAATTCAACATCATATATGCTTTTGCATGACATCATTGAAGTGGGCGAAGCGCTAGGCTGTTGTGCAATGTCGCCCATCACGCGCAGTATAATTCCGTGTAACCTTGTTCCAATTCTCGACTTGCGAAACACAGCGCAATCGCGTCGCGACCTGACGTCACCCCACCCCCTCTCTCAGCACTGTTCACTTCAGGGCACATCGTTGTTGGGGAATCCCCAATAGCGAGAGGGTCGTATTTGGCCGCCAGGAGGGGTCGTATTTGGGCTGGGAAAAATTTATTTTGATAGTTGATTTTTCTCGCTTCACGGACGTTGTAAAGGGGGGGGGGTCGTATTTACGTTTTGGCGTTGTAGGAGTGGTGGTTGACTTTTGGTGATTTTCCTGTTTCATGCGTACTATATGCCCCCCCCCCTGCTCGACAGCAAAATTTTGGGGAAAAGTAGGGAACTTTCCGGGGAATTTGGGAAAAAGTGGCTGGAAGTCGGGAAAGGAAGGGGTGGTACAGCTCCCTTTCTCAAGAGGGTCGTGCCACCCCCTCCCCCCTCCAAAAAAAGGGGATTGTAAAGTCTCGATTGAAATCCCAAACCAATGATGTGCCCTGGTTCACTTGCGCGTACCTGTAAATAGCATCGACGTCAGGATCCTTGTGTACGAGACCTTGCTGTATCGCAGCCGTACGCATCTTGTGACATAGGCAGAATTGGTCGCGATCATTGGTATGGTTCTGAGAAGCTTTCAAAAACATTAGACTATGAATACATTTGAAATTGCCGTAGTGAGTAACAGAAAACCCCATGGCACAGTATGAACCGCGTGCAACTACCTGTAAGTATTCCAAAGGAAAGCCTCGTGGCCAGGATCCTGCGTTACCGAAAAATTGATATGGGTTGAAGAGCTTCTCATTTAGTTCCCTGAATACTGTTAAAGCTACTTTTAATCATGGTAAGAGAGGAAAATATAAGTGTCTGTTGAGGAAAAACTGCACACCCTCGCCGTAGGCGGTCCTTGTCATGTGCGTGGCAGACCACAGCCGCGGCAGTGTGCCACTTTTTCCGCTCAAACGCGCGGAAACGGGACTGAAGGGTACTCATACCCGGATATCGTCTCCATACTCCACCCGCAATGTCTTCAGGGTGCTTTTGCTTCGATACTGAGGCACTGCAGCGAAACACGCACTCAGCGGCAGAGAACAAATAGAAGTGAGAGAACGTAGAAACTTGGCGCGTTTGGCTTTAAGACAGCCCCCGCGATCAAAGTGGCTCGTGGTCGCCCTTTGCTGTGCAAGTAGTCTAGCCTCCAAGCTAGAAGACTGTTCACCTTTCGCGACTCTATTGTGAGCGTGGAAGCTGCTGTAGCCGCTCAAAGTGCTAGTTCTAACTCCTCCTCAGTCGGACCGCCTTTACTTGCTAGATGTCCTCCGACGGAGGCCACTCACTTGTTCTTAGTTGGGGCGGCGGGCATTGCTAATGCCCCTGGATAATTCTGCTCTCCTTCATTACAGTTTACTCATTGGAGGTATATACATTCAATTCAATCCATTTCGCGAGGTGAAACGCGTAAAAAAACGAGTGACGCAATTTTCGTGATGCAAAACCACGACGCACAAAAGGTGCGCTACCGTAATCACAAATTCAGACACCGTGTTGATAAAATTCCTTTTTCCTTCCCAGAGTTTTTCCTCTGCGTTTTTGTTGTTTTCTTTTTGTTCTTTCTTTTGCACTGGATGATATCAACTACTGCGAGATGTGATAGAGAGATTTGTGAGCTAGGGGCTGCACAGAGACCGCAGGGAGGTGTAACTGTGAGGGAGCGATTTTGTTTATGTTGTTCTGGAGAACGCTTCTTGCCACTTTCTTCTTTGGAATTACTTATCGCTGCTGTTTCATAATTGGAAGCAGCTATCATGAAGAATTTTAATCGCGGGAGCCTGTCTTTTATATGGCGTGTACTCGCAGGGGATGAGTAGGGACGATAACTCAGTTAAGCACCATTCATTCCGATTTCCGGCATGTTTGCCGGAGAAAGTTGGCACCGACTGCTGACTCATCGTGCATACATAGGATTTTCCAGAACACATTTTACGGTATTCGGATGGACGGGGACTAATGGCCAAGAACATGATGAGGCCGCAGATCTGATCTTCTGTGGCTGTGTTTATGCATACTTTGAGAAGATTTAGAAAAGAAAAGAAAAAAGTGGATGATGTGGAAATCGCCGGATCACTCTTCACATCTGAGATGTCCTTCATGTGTTGCGACAGGGCAGCCTTGAAAAAATGAAGGAGGATCTTTCTGTAGAATACTTGGAACTTGTGTTTCTTCATGAATCTGTTCAATTATGTGTGGGGTGATTATCACGGTCGGAGAGGGCGTAATCGCGGATTTAGTTGCGTGCTCTGTGATGGCTACTCAATTTACGGAATCTTGTGCTCAGAGCAGCGTCGCCCTTCAGAGACAGTGCTTCAGCCTTTCCTACTGCGACCTGCTCTCTTTTATAGGGGCAACGGGGAACACACGCCCTGTCCATTGCCGAAATATTTGTTATAATGCTGGATATTATTGTGACTCTTACCTGTTCTTTTCAGAACGACAACCATATCGAAGTCCGCTCTGCTCTTCCAAGTAATCAAATTGTTCCAAGCCGCGACCGGAAATCAGAAACGATAATAAAGACGCGTTGAGGACACGGTTTAGTGACTATTACTTCAAGGCTTTGGAGTTTGATTCACTGAAAATCTGCAGTGAACCTGAGTGGAAGTTATTACGAATGATCGGTGTTCTCTCGACAATGTAAGGGGTAAAGATAGTGGAGGGGACGGACAGTGATCATGACCAGAAAACACCTTTTTTTCTATTCGTCTGCACTCTCTGGAGCTTATTGTTAGTGCACGAAGGGAGGCAGTCACGATATGCGACTACAGTTGTTGGGCGCCGTTCGCCTGGGCTCTGCCGTGCTATACGGGCTGATGCGTCGCCACAATCCCGTCGTGAGTCCGCCCTCTGCGATAGGCTTATATGGTGCCACCATTCAGTTGGCGCGCTTCTCTCCCTCCGGAGAAAGTGACAATCGGGCTTTCCGTGCTGCCATGATGGCGGACTGTAGGATCGTGTTAGGCGGACCGTGGCCCCGTATACCCTGCCCAGCAGTGGGTTGGGCACACTGCTCCGTCCGCGGTGCACTCATTGGCCTATGCTTCCCCTACCCGAGCGCAGGGCCGGCTGGGATTACAGATTGTAGCAGCAGGGTGCCGTTTGTAGCCGGGGCAGATGGGCGATGAAGAATGGATAGTCTATGCAACCACGGCAGGATATGAGGATAGAAAGAATGAAAGTGACGCTGTAAACGTGGGGTCATAAAAGTGTAGTGTTCTAGTTGTAGTGTGTGGCAGAGAGCGTTACGGCAAGTGGGCCCGACAAACGGCTGATCAGGTTTTTTGTTGTTTAAATAGTGGTTTTGATGGTTGCATTTTATGGTGGAAAAGTAGATAGGTTACGGCTCGCTGTTGCCAGTGGTAGAGGCCCATTGACCCGGGGAACCAGGAGGTCAGACATGGTTGTACCGCGCGAGAAGGCGGTATAGTCCCCGGGAGCAGGAGGCGAGGGCTCGTGAACTACCGATTAGTCGCGGTGGAGAGCTAGTAAAACAGCTTTTACCCAAATCGTCAAGGCTACAAGGTAAGTACTCCTTTGAATCGGACACCCTGTTTTGCTCTCGACTGTCCTTGATTCCCCTCAAAAGTGGAAACAGTACCATAAGGTTTGTTGTCATCGTCCGTGTCATAAATCCACTCTGCGCCGTTCTCTATAGCGTATAGGTATCCAATGTTTTTCCTTGTATAGGATTTGTACGGCATGTCCTCTTCGATGCTATAACCTGAACATGCTCAAAATTAGAATAATAAAAGTAATGATATAACACTCGGTGTTGGGCGAAAGCTATAACATGGGAGCTCCTTCAGATAAGGCTTAGTACCAGAGGTCAGAAGCTCAAAGACTGTCTGCTGTACAAGGATAGCCCGCGACAACCAATTCTCTGCGCTCTGAGCCTAATCTATAGCTGGTGAGAGGTGCAGAATCGCTCTTTAGTGGGCCTCCTGCTCCGAGTACTTTGGAGCTGCGCTCCCTCCGTTCCGGGGCGCACCGCGTATTGAACTTTCCGATTCATTTGTGGCGGCATTTGGAAGATGTTCGCATGCTCACTAACTTATAGCGATATATGGTTGATCGAGCGAGTATTTTTGCTTTCTCGCTCGTTTAACCTATTTTTAAAGAGTCAAAAGTTGGGAATCTGAAGAGTACTATTCCCAGAAGGGCGTCGAAAATGAGTGTTTCTTTTTATTATCTGAAGGCTTCCTAGAACCACCAAACTTGCTGTTACTGAATTTTGTAGGAATTCTGTTTGCTGGAAATCCACCCTGGAGCATAAATCAAATCCCACTCAGCAGCATAAATCGAATCGTAGAGAGGGTTCTTTCCAGTGTTTGACCATGAAGACAGCAACGCGCTCAAGTAATCCATGTTCTCCTTCACTGAACAAGAAGTCCAGCTCCCAAGCTGAGAGGCTGTCCCACTCTCGCGCCTCCAGCGAGCGAGGACCGCTGAAAGTTCTAGTTCTAACGCCCGCTCAGTTGGACCGCCCACTTGCTAGATGCCCTCTGACGGAGGGCCGCTCAGTTGTTCTTTGTTGGAGCGGCGGGCAATACGACAGCAACCGGGGCACGGAACCGACAGCAACTTTCTGCACGGCTCAATTTACCCAACAAAGAACCTGCACAGGCGGCGTTACTTCGACTAGCTTTTTTTCACAAAAGAAATAGAATGAATTGAGAATTCACAGACCTAAACTTCGTTGATCGTGGACACTAAGGTAATGAACGCCCTCCAAGGACCAGTTATGTGGTGTTTTAATATCGCCAACCACCACCAAAGACCATCCGTGAATCTTGGCAAGTCGCTGGAATAGTGAAAAATTAGCAGTGCTGAATTTCAGAACAGATTTCCTCTAGTTCCATACAGTTCCCTCTTATGTAATCATTACTGTTCTTCAGGGTATCACAAAAGTTCAAGGACCTCGTGAGTAGGTTCGATAACAGAAAACCAGGGTATTAGTCGGGTATAGAAACATGTGGACGAGAAGGAGGCGGGCCGGCGTTAGCCTGCGAGCCGACTGGTTATATATAGTGGGTGTTCATGCGCGCTATGGTGTCTGTAAGCGACGGCTGGTCATAAAGTGAAAGAACAAAATGATTTTCGAAAAAATACAAATTTGACAATATACATATACACATGTAGAAAGACCCTGGTTCCTAACTGGGTCTCAGAGCAGTGCAGGCCGCATGCAACCTCTCTTCTGGAGGAAGTGCTGGGCTGTCACCCATAATATGGTATCGGAATCACTACTGCTCATATGATCTTGGCCTGAGAAGGGCACTCGCTCATGCAGTTGATCAGCACTACAATTGAACCTGCTGCGTTCTTGCTTGAAGCCAGTTTTTAGGAGTTTATTCGCTTCGGCTCAGGGGGTTGGGGCTTCGTGCTTTCACTTTCTTTGCTACTTCACTTAACGTAATTGTTTTCCGCAGGTTTTTGCCTTTTTGATTCTCTTGTTATATACATAGAACCCCGTGAGGATTTTTAGTACCAAATTGTCGTGCCTTGCGCCTTTTGCAAGGTGGCTATATCCGATGATTGGCTCTTGTTAAGAGAATCACTGTAGCAGATATAAAACTCCAGTCAGGCGCGCGGACGCGTTCCATCATCCGCAGGGAACCGTTCTCTAAACCGTTTGCTTATTTGCCTCTTCATTTTATGCACGTTTTGTTGCTTTCAT